ATAATAAGTCACCTGTCGTGCTCCCGGTCACTCATTGACGCAGCGCAGCTCTTATGCAGCTCCGGCAGGCCTGGGGCTCAGTGTCTGAGGGGCGCAGTGCTCAGAATGGACGGGGGACGTGGGGAGCAGGAGAGGGGCCACTGGGCCTCCAAGCTGGAGTTCCTCCTGGCCGTGGCCGGGGACGTGGTGGGGCTCGGGAATGTGTGGCGTTTCCCGTACCTGTGCTACAGGAATGGCGGAGGTGAGTCTGTGCCGTACAGGCAGGTGGCAGAGCTGGTGCCGTCTGCAGACAGGCTGTGGGTAACCCGTCTCCTGTTTCCTCGGGCTCGTGGGGGACAGGTGCCTTCCTGGTGCCCTATCTGGTGTTCGTGGTGACGTGCGGCGTCCCGCTGTTCCTGCTGGAGACAGCCATGGGGCAGTACACCAACGAGGGCAGCATCACCAGCTGGAGGAGGATGTGTCCCCTCTTCGAGGGTGAGGGGCTCGTTCTCCCTGTGTTTCCTGTTACTCTCAGTCCAAATACAGGGAGGTCTGGGTGCAACTGTATATATGCTCCCACTGGAAACAAATGTTATTTTACTAATGTTCCTGTTGGCTGGAAGCAAGGTCTGTATCAGATCTCTTCTCAATGCAGAACATGATTCTAGATGTCTGAAAGGACACTGCAGAAGGGGCACAAGTCACAGGGAACAGATCAGCCTGTAACAGTGAATGCACAGTTCAATATGTAAACCACTGACAGAGGAAAGTACAAGGTGAGCCATGAACTCAACTTCATCAAAGATGAGGAATGTTTCCACATAGTTCTAAAAGGTGGTAAAAGATTAAGCTGTGAAAACGAAATCTTTAATGACAAACGAGAGTAACTTTAAATTTAATTTCTCTGTCGAATGCTTAAAAAAAGTTTTTGTTCATCTACCAACCCTGGCCAGATGAAAACTTATTGTAAAGGGTTAAATAAATATTTGATGAATAGACTTAGCTTTGAGATCCTCTTGAAGAAGAAATTTAATTTTAAATGCTAATACTTTCTTTTTGATGAGCCTCTTTGTGAAGAACTATTTGTGTTCAGTATAAGATTCTTACAAAAGGAGAGCTCATTTTCCCATTTCCATCCGCAGGGATTGGCTACGCAGGCCAGCTGATTCTGGTCTACAGCTGCATGAGTTACATCATCATCCTGGCCTGGGCTCTGTACTACCTCTACAACTGCTTCAGCAAGGAGCTGCCCTGGGCCAGCTGTGAAAACATCTGGAACACAGGTACAGAGACCTGCAGCACATCTGGACACTCTAGCCTGCTCACTACAACATGGAAAACAGCTGTCCTCAGGGTCCTGGGTCTCTGACCTTTTCCTGATCTTCTGTGCACATCTGTCACACACACACACACCTGCAGCGACTGAACTGCCTGACAGCTGAGTACACAGCTGCCCTATCCAGGGCAAGATTGTGGGTCATTTTACTTTTCAAAACTAAGATTTTCACTTTGCAGTGTAGATTTTTGCCCTGCTGTGATTTTCCACAGGAAATATAATTAAAACACAGGTGTGTAAACTCAGCTGAAATGTGACTGAACTGAACTGTGCTGCCATTTAACAGGACTGGGAAAGGAAAGGCGATGAGGAAGGAATCACTGATTAGGGATCAGAACAGTTTTGTCCATCTGCGCGTGTCCATTCCCTGCTGGATCTTTGCATGTTTTGGGGATCTGATCCTGGTGCTCTGTGCTGCTGTTTCTCCAGATGCCTGTGTGGATCTTGACAAGAGGAACCACAGCTCTAACTGGACCACTCTGCAGAACACCAGCTCCGCTGCCACAGAGTTCTGGGAGTGGGTTCGGAGTCCAAAAGAGACCCCGTTTCCTGTTTTGTTGTTAATTTAAAGTGAACGATTGCTGAGCCATTACTATCAATTTGAGTTTCTGGATCGAATTCTAAGCTTAATGACTTCAGTCTTGTCCCCACCCATCTGACTGACAGTATTCAGCTATAGTTCAAATTTGGGTAAAGACACAGTGTCCTCTAGTGGTCAGAGAAGACGCAGCTTTTAAGATTTTCAGTCTTCATGTTTTTCCCTCACTTGACCCTTCGGTGAGAAAGCTCTGCAGGTCTCGCAGTGCAGCTGACAGCAGCAGAGTTCAGTTCTCTGTGCAGTTAGACAGGATCCCTCCCTCTCCCTGCAGAAGACACGTCCTGAGCATCTCTCCAGGGCTGGAGCAGCTGGGCAGTGTGCGGTGGCCACTCCTCGTGTGTCTGGTCATCATGTGGGTCATCTGCTATTTCTGCATCTGGAAGGGGGTCCGGTCCACAGGGAAGGTGAGCACCTGTCATTCTGTGTGTGTGTGTGTGTGTAAGTGAGTGTGAGCATTGATGCTTTCTAGTGCAGGCTGGTGGATTCCTAATAAAGTGGCCGGACGGTGCCTAAGCAGTAACAGCTCTGGCTCTGCTGTGCCCTTCACAGGCGGTGTATTTCACAGCCACCTTCCCCTACCTGATGCTGCTGGTGCTGCTGGTCCGAGGGGTCTCCCTGCCTGGTGCCATGGAGGGAATCATCTTCTATCTGTACCCTGATCCTGCCCGGCTGAGTGACCCACAGGTACCCCAGAGCTGGAGGGAGAGAGGGGTCTGTCCCACAGGTACCCCAGAGCTGGTGGGAGAGAGGGGTCCGTCCCACAGGTACCCCAGAGCTGGAGGGAGAGAGGGGTCTGTCCCACAGGTACCCCAGAGCTGGAGGGAGAGAGGGGTTTGTCCCACAGGTACCCCAGAGCTGGAGGCAAAGGGGGAGAGAGGGTAGGAGTTTTTCTTAAAACTATATTCAAGCTTGTTTTCAGACACAGGAATAAATGCATGAATTCCATGGGATTTGCAAACAATAGCTGTTTTGGTCCAGACGTGGGTAAATGAGCAGGATTTTGTATTGTGCACCCCTGGCCCAGTCTGAGATCCCTCTGTTTTGGGGTGTCCCAGGTGTGGTTGGAGGCAGGATCCCAGATCATCTTCTCCTACAGTGTCTGTGTGGGAATCCTCATAGTGCTCGGCAGCTACAACCAGTACAACAACAACTGTTACAGGTCAGTGACTCTCTGTACCCATCATGTTCCCTGACTGTTACCTGGAAACTGCTTTATAACAGCTGCCTGAGAAATATCTGTTGCATTACAAGAAATCCGCACCAGCCACCCATGTGTTCTTGTGTTTCTAGCAAAATGAATCACAAACTGAAGTTCTGTAATAGATGGCATGGTGGTTACCATTGTTATCTCATAGCTCTGAGCCCCTTGGTTCAATTCCAGACCTGGGGTGCTGTCTGTGTGGAGTTTGTATGTTCTCTCTATGTTCCTGCGGGTTTCTTCCAGGTTCTCTGCTTTCACTTTCCTTCCTTCTGCTTTCCCTTGTGACATTATTGTGAAGCCTGCTCATTATATAATTTATTCCTTTATACTTTTATAAAGAAACAAACTATCCTGAACAAGCCTGCTAGAAGAATGTATTTGCAGGCAGTCCCCACTGTCCAGGTACAGCAGCAGGATTGGAACTGGGAAGCTCCCGGTAACCAGGCCTTCACCCTCACTGCTGTGCCACATTGACTCCAGGCAGTGCATGGGACCTTCAGGTCTGACAGCCTCCTCCCCCTGTGCTCTGTTTCCAGGGACTGCTTTCAGCTGTGTGTGCTGAACAGCGGCACCAGCTTCGTGGCAGGTTTCGCCGTGTTCTCGGTCCTGGGCTTCATGGCTCACGAGCAGGGGGTGCCCATCGCCGAGGTGGCAGAGTCGGGTAAGGCAGAGCCACGCTCACCCCCACCCCTGGGTCTCCAGGGCCGCGATCAGACACGCCCCCCCTCACCAGCCTGACCATCAGCACAGGGACAGCGGGCAGAGGAAGTGGGGCGCTCGTGTTCCCAGCTGTCTTTGATCTAGATTGCAGAGCTCGACATGTGTTTGATTCGGGGGGAGGGGGGGTGATTTCACTGCCTGACCAGGGCATAAAGGGGTCTGTCTCGTCCTCTGCAGGCCCTGGCCTGGTCTTCATCGCCTACCCGCAGGCTGTGGCCATGATGCCCCTCCCTCATCTCTGGGCCTCCTGCTTCTTTATTATGATCATCCTCCTGGGGATGGACACACAGGTGGGTGAAGCCCTGTTCTCCTGAGAGGCCTCCTCTCTCTTTCTGCGTCCTGAGTTGCTCTCACTCCCCATCTAGCCTGCTGTTGGTGGACACATAGTCCTGGAAGACTTCAGGGCTCCCTGCCCCTCATTCTCTCCCCCATGCTCTCACTCAGCTGCATCTCTCTCTCTGCAGTTTTTGGCCATCGAAAGCATCATCACCTCCGTCTCGGACCTGTTCCCCTCCGTCCTGCGCAGGCCTGGCCGCAGGGAGCTCGTCCTGCTGCTGTTCTGCATCGCCTGCTTCCTTGTCCAGCTGGTCATGGTGACAGAGGTGAGGCTGTGGAAGATCCACAGGCTGGTCTGACCCACCAGCTCGATTGAACAATGAGAAAGGTGACAAGATTGTTCAGCACAAACTGTGAACTGACAGATCTCTGTGAGTCTTGTAAAGGCACAGCGAAGGGCAGCAAACCATGGCACAAGCAAAGTAAAGTTGAGGCCTTGTATGACGGGAAGCACTGAGCTGAGCTCTTGGTACTACAGTGATGATGCCAGATTGCTGCTCTGAATTCAGCTCTGCACACTGAAGGTTTTGTTAAGCCACGATAAAGTACTTGGATCCAGGTAGTGAAAATCCTCAAGGGCTTTGACAAAGTCAGCCTGTTGGAGTTCCCCACACATAACAGTGAGTGGTATTTTTTATGATTGGCTGGACTTTCTTCTGTTTTTCCTTTCTGAATGTTCAGCCTGTAATTGCTCGTCTCCAAAAGGCTGCAGAAGTGTGGCTGTCACGATCGTAATCCCCCCTCTTAAGGGCGCTCCGGCTCTTTCACACTTTTGACGATTTCATGCTCCTGCCCCCAATCCTGCCCCTCCTTATTTGAGCCGGGTCCTCTCGCTACTCTGGGCTCTGCACTGGAAGACGCCCAGAGGCCCGCCGACCATCAGGTCGCCCTGCGTCCGAGGCTTCAGGGCACAGGCCTCCTATCGACCTGATCCCACTGAGTCCGGACCTCAGGGCGCCTCGTCATCCCGTTTGTATTCCCCGTCCCTGATCTCGGCTGGATCACCCCGTTTGGACTTTTGGATTTCCTCCCTGGGCTCCTTGGACTTGTTCGCCCTGGCTACACCCCCCCGAGCACCAGCTCACTGTCGTCACGCCCCCCCGTCTGTCAACCCCTCCTGATCCTCGTCGTCTCCTCCCTGTTGTCCTTCTCCATACCGTCCAGAACTAGGCGTCGTCACAGTGGCACACTGTCCAGTTTCTCTGGTGTTGAACTGTAAGCTGTGTGAATTGACTATCCAGGCCTGTGAACACCTCAGTCTGATCCCTGGAGACCCTTATCACCAGGCTAAACACACTGTTGGTTTTCCCCTGCCTTGCGTGTGACACACTGTAATAAATCAGGTGAGCCTGAAATATTTTGGACCTTTTAGCAGTAAGAAGTAATTCATTAAACTCTGCAGATTTTTTCATTTTATTATCTGCCAGGAAAGTCAAGAACTCCATTAGAAAAGAACACCTTCTTAACTAAGAAAGGACATTGTGTCCTGAAAACAGCCAGGAGGACTGAGTTGTTGTGCATCAGTGAAGCCCATTGTGAAACTTCCAGCACTTCAGCTTTCTAGCGTGATAGGTAGAGACTTGCATATCCAAGCCACAGCAGGTCATCAGGCATCAGAGCACATCCCAGTTTCCATGGTGATAAGAAGCCAGGATATCAGCTTCAACAATATAGAGCTATTGCTACCTGGTCACTTGTTCCATGCTCCCACAACTCATTGTGCACAACTGTACCTCCTTTACTCAGTTTTAAATGCACTTATACATGGTTTCCACTGGTGTTTCTCTGGGTGATGTTTGTCAGTGCCGTTGAGGATGTGGAATACTGGTAACAGGGCCCCTCGCAGTCTCAACCGTTCTCAACTAAAAAGCTCCAGTTCCTTCAGTGAGTCAGTCTGGGACACTCCTTTGCCAGAGAGACACACAAACAGGCAAAGGCCAGCAAACCCTGAGTGTGTGACTGGCGAAAGGCAGTTGGCTCAGTCTGGCTCTAAACAGATAATGAAATCCATTCCAGGCTTTCCAACTCTCCCTCTCCCTCTCGGTAGGGCGGGATGTACCTGTTCCAGCTCTTTGATTACTACGCCTCTAACGGCACCTGCGTCCTGCTCCTGGCTGTCTTCCAGACCATCGGCCTGGGCTGGGTATTCGGTAAGACCTGCACCAGCACGGCCCAGCCAGTGGGGGGCAGAGGCGAGCTTGCACAGAATCCCTTGTGGCTGTGGGAGCTCAGGCCGGGCGGCTGTGTCTTGCTCACTGCACATCTGAAAGGACACAGGCAGGCAGAGTGCAGCTGGAAGTAAAACTGAAAACATGAGAGTTGCTTCATGCAGACAGAAGCAGATACTCACTCCTGAAAGTGTGTGCGTGACGTGGACTTTCAGTGGATGTCCCAGTGGACATCTTCAGTCCATCCCTTCAGGTTCATGAATAGCTGGGGCTCATCATCGATCTGGCTCTGTCCTCCTGTAGGTGCTGACCGCTACAACGACATCATCGAGGACATGGTGGGCACTCGGCCCAACCCCTGGTTTAAGTACTGCTGGCTCTTCTTCACCCCGCTGTTGGCACTGGTGAGTCTCTTACAGCCCGAGGAAAAGAGCAGCTTGTCCCAACCGCAGCTCAGCTCCTTCCCCAGGCCCTGCGTCTGGGCACTTGACTGGGACAGCTCCCCCAGTCTCCAGCCACCAGACTCCACTCTGGTTCACAGCACATCACAGCCTTCTGTGGCCATGTGCAGGGAAGCTCAGAAAAGCCTGATAGACTAATGTAAAATACAGATGAAAGCTATGGAAAATTACCCTTTCTCCAGGTAAGATCTTACACTGGCCGGGCTGATTAATCACCATCATGTGGAATCCTGAGCCACAGCTGTAGCTCGTCCTGGATTTGAACCCGAGATGCCCACGCCCTGCACTGTGGGGGTATCTGGCTCTTTGTCCTTGGATCTGGCTGCCTGATTGACCCGTCTCCTGTCTGTGTCTTTCAGGGCACTTGTGTCATGTCCCTGGTAGATTTCCAGCCTCTGGTGTTCAACAGGACCTACGTGTACCCAGGCTGGGCCTATGTGCTGGGCTGGCTCCTGGCCGGCTCCTCCATCATCACCACCCCCCTGGTCATGCTCTTCAAATTGTCCCGGGCCAGAGGGAGCCTGAGCCAGGTAGGCCACTCTTCTGGTAGAGGCCCGGCCCTAATCCACTGAGGGGACTGTGGGCTGAGACACTCGTAGTGTCTGTTCCACTGTCACAGCACTGCGAGGCATTTATAAAAGACAAACCAACTACTTCTACAAATACACTCCTGCTGTGTTTCTCCTAAACAATGTAAAACCTTAACAGATAAGATGAGGCCTTGATTTTCCTTATAACACTGACCCATTAAAATCACACTAAGTTCTTATCTTTGAAGGATCACCGGTAGGTAATGAATGACCTGCTCCACGCACCCACAGCTCTTTGTGTAAAGATGTTCCTGTTCTCAGTCAGACCAGAAATGATCCTCGACTTGACCTCCTGCTCTTTCTTCCCCCCAGCGTCTCACATTTCTGTGCCGCCCTGACGATGACCTCCCCCTCATGAAGAAGCAGGGAGTAGAGGTCTGCCCTTTGAACTCTGAACCCCAGAGGTACCCTGATGCACCTGATCCCTCCACAGAGACAGAAATGAGGATGCTCAGGCGTCAGATATAGCTACTGCTAACTTACAGGACAAGTGACTGTAAAGGCCCAGCTTCTGTAGAACACAGCACTGGACCTGGACACTGGTCAGCAAACTACTCCAGCCTCAATAGAAAACAGAAGACTATGGAAATTATTGTGTTACAGACTGGACAAATTGCGTCTCCTGTTCTGATTGGTCATTGCTGTAATTCTAATGTCATCAATGGTCTATTAGTACAGTTGTACAATGTTTTAGATTCTACTGAGCACTCATTTAGCTTTAACGTACTTCTACCACAGTATATATCACACTTTCTCACATTCTTCTACAAACGTTTCAGCATGGTTTCAATGTGTTTTTCTACACTTCACTTTCTGTCAATGTACCACTGCACAAGTTTGTATTAAATACATATGTATTCATTTCTGTAATAATGACAGTAAAAAATATGGATATGTAACGATCCTTCCTAAGTAAAACCGGATGTGTTTGGTAATAAAAAAGTACATCAATACCCGAAGCACCAGAAAGAGAAATCCTACCGAACTGCTCTTTTCCACACCAGTCTGACTCCTCTTAGCTGGTCATCTAGTGGTTACGAGTAGTCAGTACAGGAAACAGGAAAGCCTGTTTGTGAATGACCATTCTCTGGAAAAAAACAGCGGAGTTTTAAAAATATTACATATTATATATATATATAAAAACTGACAGAGTTCCCCCTCACTCTATTATTGGACTGAGTGTTATTGAAAGAGTGGGGACCAAAAGTACAAGAAAAAAATCAACAGTGGCCGAGAAGGAGAATTTTGGAAAGATAAACTATGACAGGTTATGTGACAGTCAAGTTCAGTCCTCATGCAGTCGTGAAATGTGAAGTGTATGAACTGTATTAATTGTGATCCACGGGATACAAATGGGAAGTATGTGGAAATGTGTTTAAAAATCGACATCTCCAAAGACTTCTTTACACAAAGGATGGTGGGAGAGTGGAACAAGCTACCCAGGCACATGTCTGAAGTTGGGAAACAAGGAGGTGGGATCAATCAAAGACTCATAAGCCAGGCTGGATGGGCTGACCTGCTCCTCTCGTTGTCAGCAGTGTGGGTCTGGTGGACGGTGCCCCACAGGGTCCGCCCTGCTACCACAGGTGGTCTGCTGGACACAACTCCACCGGGGCAGCGGGCTCCTCGCGAAACAGGAGACCTGCTGATAAAAGGCACAGGCTGCTCTCCCAGTTTGAAATGCAGCTCCTGTCCTGATCAGTCCCTGGCTGACAAGGCAGAGACAGTGCACACAAGATAATGTTCCTCTGCACACAGTGTGGATCTGTGTGCGTTGTGTGTGGGTGGGTTCCAAATGTTGCACAAGGGACCCTCTTCAGTCTCTAAGCAGTTGCCGAGAGTCCGCTCTGCTTGGAGCGGCTCAGTGTGTTTACTGTCTGTTCCTTCACCCTCGTGAAGCGCCCGCTGTCCCCCCGCCGGAGCGTGCTGTGGTCTCACCGTGACGAGCCGCACAGGGCTGACCGATAAACAGGGAGGGTGACAGACAACCCAAGTCTGGCTAACAGGCACGCCACGCTGGGGGCGTCGCAATACTGAGCTCAAAACCCGTGTTCCTGCCGCTCAAGTGCGTCAGAGCCCAGTGTTTACTCACGCAGGTGCTCCAGTTTAATAACCGAGACACGTGCCAGGCAGAGGGCACTGCCCTCACCTGGCACAGGACAGCTGGCAGGATTCCAGGTGTCCCTGCGGAGTGGACCGAGGTTTGGCACTAAGCCGCCGCAGCAGCTAACTCTGTGACTCAGGGCTTCCCACAGGGCAGATGGGTGCCAGCGGAGTGGCACAGGCCACCAGAGGCCCAGAGAACTGTGGCGCTGGCGAGTGAGACAGCTATGAGGCACGGGCTGTAAGGAAGCGCCACGTCAGAGGTCAGGCTACGCTTCAGCCTGGCCTAGACAGGACAGCTGGCCCAGGCCCAGCCCTGAGCTCCAGCCCTGAACCCTGAACCCCAGCCCACGCTCAAGCCTCAGGCCCATCACCAATCCCCAGCCCTGAACCCAGCAACTTTAGTGTAGTGTTAATAATAAACTGCATTTCTCTAGCACTTCTTATCCCACAGGACAGCAAAACAGGAGGGCATTTGCTTAACGCGCTACCCCACCACGGGGGGACACTCTTTTCGGGACAGCTGTTCAGTCCAGTCTGTGGCAGGGCTTCAGGACAGTCACTGCGAGGTGTAACCAGTCAAGAATATTACTGTCCCACAGCCATTAGGAAGGACAGCTCATCAAACTTGTTTGCCTGCTGGCTCGTCTGGGGATCTCTCCCTGCACTTTTGTGAAAGAGGTCAGTGGACCGGCTCGTTCCACACTCCCCCCACCCTTTGTGTAGGTACGGTGCGGTGACTCTGTGCCTAAGGATCTGCGCCTGTGGCTGGAAGGTTGCCGGTTCGTATCCTGCGGCCAGCAGAGAATTCCTACTCTGTTGGGCCCCTGAGCAAGGCCCTTCACCCCAACTGTTCCAGGGGTGCCGTATAAATAGCTGACCCTGCGCTCTGACCCCCAGCTTCTCTCCCTGCCTGTGTGTCTCATGGAGAGCAAGCTGGGGTCTGTGGAAAGACAGATTCCTAATGCAAGAGATTGTATAGGGCCAATAAAGCGATCTTATACACGCTCCCTGTTCTCTGTTTGAAATGCTCTTCCTTGCAGTTTCCACCTGTGTCCCCTGGTTCATGTTTCATTCACAGCTGGTCCTGAAGAAGAGCACCAAGAGGACCTCTTCAGAACTTTGGATACTTGTTGGGTCCTCTTACAGGGCTAAAAAGTGTACATTATTTTACTGCTGAGGGCTGGAGTTGGTGTACTTTGGCTGTGAAATAGAAATTGCTCTGTCCATGGTGTAAGAACAACTTGTTTCTCTAGAAGCCAGAACCTCTTCCTCCTTTCCTTTATTTGTTTTTTTTAGATTGAAGACTTAGCCTCTGGATTTATAGCATTATTTCATTTACAGAACAACCTGGTACTTTGTTCTTAGTAGTTCTGTTAACTTATTACATCCTGCCTTGTATGCTGTGTAAATTCTGAGCCACCCATTGTTTTGAATGTAAATTTCCCAGCTATATAAATACTGTTTCTGATACTAATTGCTGTGTGTATAAATACATGCGAGAATTTCCCTTCTCTAGTTCAACAGTAAACACAAGAAAGACACATTGCTCACTTGCAAAGAGAACTATTGAATGACTGACCCTTCACCACCGAAGTCTGAATCAGACAGCGGTTGTTTAAAAACGCAATTCATAAGAAATGAATTTTGAAAGGATCTCCATTTTCTTTCCTCTTTTAATTCCTTGCGAAACGCAGGCTGGTGTTTACAGTTTCGCTGCTCGGACTGAGTGAAAGCCTGCGTTCATTCGCGGTAACTCTCAGGAAGAGAAGTGAAGTCACAGATAATCTTGTTTTCCCAGCACTGCGCGTACACTAGCGACATCAGCCTCCAGGGGCTACCTGCAATTTACGTGCATAGTCAACATTTTAAAAACTACATTTCTTAAAGCGGTATGATCATCACGCTGTGCGCCCAAGACCGGTTACAGACATAAAATGGTACTTTTTTTACCAGCAGGGAGAGCTGAGACAATTAACTTGTACATGATTTGGGCAACAAAAGATGCCTTCAAGACGACCACCTCTATGTCTTGTTCAGTAAACAGCTGGCTGGTGATGCGCGGCCGTCTCCCTCTGGTTCAGTTCTCGTCCCTGTCGATTAATTTAATCGATATTTGTGCGTGCCCAATCCCTTCGGAAGGGGTGCTCCGGCCGACCCCCAGTTTGTGTTTCAATAGGGTGGCTGATATGTATACAGTGCGTATATATATATACTGGCGCGCACACACCGAGAGAGAGAGAGAGAGTCGGTGGAGAAAAAAAAAGGGATGTTGCGGCCAACCCCGTCTCAGATCGTGCAAAGTCAAGCGCTGTGTTATTTCCTGTTTATGCAGGGAGACATACAGGGCCGCCGGGGCTGGAGCGGCGAGTGGAAGGGGCGCACAGTCGGCCTGGAGGGGTCAGCGGATTGCCGGAGCTGCGGCGCGGGTGGGAGGGGGCAAGAGAAGGGAGAGAGGGAGAGAGACGGGGGGGGGGACCCGCTCACTCGGTCCTCCGCCGTGTGTGTATTTTTTTTTTTTCCTCGGCTCGCTCGGCAGTCGGGGCCTGGTGTGCGTATGTCATTTCCTGTTTGTGCTGCGCCGAGTTCCTTTGTGGATCTCCAGTAGCCGAACGGGGCCTGGTCCTCTTCGAGCGGCGGGGCTGCGAGCGGAGCGGAATCGGAGAGAAAAAGAACAGAATCCGAACCGAATCCGGGCGGAGTGAGGGTGTCACGGAGAGGAGAAGACGAAGAGCGGAGGGAAAAAAAGGAGAGAGAGAGTGAGGCGGCGCGGTGGTAGAGGGGGGGGGGAGAGGTTAATAAAAGATAATATAAGCGGACCTAACGAGAAGGAGAGGAAAGACGCCAGCGTTTCGGCTGGAGGAGACGGTTACAAAAAAGTCACCTCCCCACCCCTCCCTCCTTCTCTCTCTCTCTCTCCCCCCTCCTCACCAAACACCCCCCAAAAAATAACCCCAAACTGCACCCCTCGCAGCGGGCAAGTCGGCTCCCGGGTGTCCACCCGTCGGAGGAGCGCTTGGGGGCGCATGAAGCCGGCGGACCGGGCTGCTCTCCGTCTCCGGAAGGTAAGACACGCCGGCCGTCCCGGGGTGGGGAGCGAGGGTACAGCCGGTATGTTAACACAACAACAGCAGCAGCAGCAGCAGGAGTCCGTCGCGGTGCCGGTGGTCGGGGGAGGTGGGCACACCTCGGACGTCTCTGCCGCGCACGTAGGTCAGGTGGATCAGGGCATCAGGCCGCCTGAGCAGATCTGCGGATTTAAAACGTTGTTTTGTTTTCCAATTTGGTGTGTGTGTGTGTGTTTTATAGATACGGATTATATTGGAGACATTTCGCCTCCGTCCCACGTCGCTCGGTATCGACAGCAACCTTTGACTGGTGCTGAAGTCGAGCTCCGGGTCACTGTGCGCTGGGTGCTAGTTATGCGCTAGGAATGCAGACCTCGCCACAAATTTCCTACTGGTAAAAATTACACACGGTGGAGGGGGGGGGATACATTCATATGTGAATAGCAGGGTGTATATCACGCCTCTCCTGTCGCCTTTCCCAATACGTTTTTCCATGCGAGCCCTTTGCAGGTGTCGCCATCAATGTATTGGAGTACCTGCGGCTGGCGAGCTGTGTGGGGGTGTTACACGGTATTTTGCACAAAGATTTTTTTTTTAAATCTAGATGGGCTTGATGTGCGATATGAAAGAAGGTAAGCTTTATTCACTTATGTTAGTTTAGGAAATCTAAACTGAAAAACAAACTCTGGGGTGCTACCTGTTGCTCTCCTGTGCCCCAGTTCTGGAAGAGGGAACCGGCCCGCTCCAGAGCGCCGTTCTGCAGTTCACAACATCGGACCGAACGTCCCCCCTCAGCTGGGGGCTTCCCAGACCAGACTTTCAGCTGGGCAGCGTTTGTTTTTAAAAGTCCCATTAAGTACTGGCAGTTATGCAAACCATACCAGTGAGTCATGTGTCACCAGTTTGAGGTGATGCCTCTAAGGGGGCTCTATCAGATACAGTTTGTTCTGAACGCGTTGCTGCTGGCTTCATGTGCTGATTTGCATTTCCAGTCGGTGACGCAGAAACTCCCAGGAATTAGGGCTTTGTCTTCGGAAGCACTGCTCCGGCTCCAGACCACTGACCTCGTAACTCCTGTGCCTTGGAACCAGGGTCCTGGGATCCGGTCCGGGCCCGAGTCGGGAATGTGGGCCCGTATCGGACCGCCCTGCGCCAGCAGTACCAGTTGCAGTTCCGGGTTGAGATGCAGCAGCCAGATGTGAAATCTTCTGGACCGGTTTCCAGCAAGAGGGTTCTCTGTGCGGGCTAGAGGGCTGTGAATGATGAGCGCAGCTTGTCCCAGAGTCTAGCCCGTGTCTGTGCACTCAGGAACGCTCCATTCAGGAATTGTCTAGGATCTGTCTTTAGTCTTCTTGATGTCTGAGTAGACTTGTTATTTTGCCCCATTCGGGGGGTACAGTTCGGGGATCCGCACCCCATTTGAGGAAAGGGAAGCAGCAGAGCACCCCGACGCACACCTTCCTAAAAGGTCACGTTTGACCCATTGTTTTTTCCTGTGCATCATGGGTAACGGGTAGAGGAAAAAAGGAACTTACAAGTGCCTCTGTAGACAAAGGTAAGGAGAAATGTCAGGGAAAATTCAGGAAGTTCGCTTTGCTTTTGATGTCATATCAAGCCGCTGCGTCAGACCTGTGGGCAGCTGCTGTGGCTGGAGGGGGAGGGGGGAGGAATCCAGATCCAGACCTGCAGTCACTTCGGGTTTTTGTTCCAATCCGAGTCTTCAAACTGTTCTCTTAGACTTCGGGTTTTTCTTCAGGTCGTTGCTGCTGGTGGCTCAAAATGCTCACCTGGCTTGAATAATTGGGCATTTTTGATTATTCAGAGTAACCTCTGTTCTCTTCCCACCTGTGCTCTCTGCTACAGGGGGTTTTCTAATTTTTTAATTAGCTCGACTAATATAACCAGGCCCCGCTGGTTGAGCTAATTAAATAATTAGAAAACCCCCTGTAGCCGAGAGCAGAGGTGGAACAGAATCCAGGATTCTCCAGTAATGGAGCTGGGGACCCCTGACCTCTAGGACACCGACCTTAAGCTTGAAGGTCAGCTATATCAGACAAGCTGCGTTAGACGTTGCCTTCAGTTGATCTCCAGTAGATCTGGGGGTTCGGAGCTCTGTGCTCCAGTGGGAGATTAAAATATTCTCGAGCGGAGTATTTACTCACCGTCGCTCAGATGAAGTTTCGAGTGCGGGTCTTGATGCGGCCGCTGTGTGGTTCGATGCAGGGCCTGGGGCAGATGCTTGTGCAGGAAGACGCCTCCTCCGCTCAGACGTGCGAAGGCCGCCTCAAAGCCGACAGCCAGGAGGCGATGGTGGGGCGAGCTGGGCGCTGTGGCAGAGGCCGAATTTCTTCTGTAAATCTCTTGATGTCAACAGGGGTCGCAAACCTATTAAAACGTGCTCATTGCCAGACAGTATCAATTGACTTTTTAATAAGGCTTCAGTCTGAGCCCCTCCCTCCCCACACTCCTGCCTGCATGTTGCAAAGCCTTGTGCCAATCCTGTGGTGTCCGCGGTGTGTTCAGAACCAGCGCACAACAGACCGCGTGTCGGGGTGCCGCGGGGCAGGTCCGCCTCGTTGCTCGGAGCTTGCCCGTTGTCCTGGCTGTTTTCCGTCGGGCTGTAGCTGTTCCGCAGGGAGGCCTGGGAATGTGCAAGGTTCCCCCCTGAGTCCCTGTCCTGTTTCCTGTGCCCCCAGGTGCCCTGAGGAAGTGCCAGACGGCGTGTCCATCTCTCTCGGGCGGCAGGACGGAGTGGGCGAACGGCGACTGATCGTCTCCCAGCAGTTGCCCCCCCTCCCTCCCTCTGCTGAGCAGCGTGTGGCACCTCGCACCCCTCCCCCTCCCCCCCGCCCCGAGCCCCAGCCCCCAGCATGAATGAAGTGACGGTCGTTCGGGAAGGCTGGCTCCAGAAGAGAGGTGAGTGGCCCACTGCGCCCCCGATGGCTCCTTCCTCGTCCTGCTGCTTGGGGGTTCCCCAGGGGTCCCCGCTTTCCTCTGAGCACCGCGGTGACAGCGGCCTAAAAGGTGGTGCACAGTCGCTCCTGTTGCTTCGAGTGGTGGGCAGATGAGAATGTATTCATCCCGCACGGCAGTGACACCCCTGCTTGCAACGTGTCTTTACACAAAGGGCTGCGGGAGTAGGGAACAAGATACCCAGCTTTGATGTTGAATGCCGATTCCCTGGAACATTTTTTAAAAAGGTACAATGTAACAGGTTGTATCACAGTCAAGAATAGTCCTCGTGCTTGTGAGATGTGATGAGCAGCTACTGTATTAAATGGGAACGAGAGGACACTTTGTGGAATTGCATTTGACAACGACTCGCCAAGGCCTTCTTTACACCAAGGGTTGTGGGAGTGTGGAACATTCTGAGCAGCCATGTTGTCGGAGCCGATGCCATGGCTTGTGTCAAGAAATGGCTGGATGAGATCTCGGGCTCAGTTAACTACTGCTGACCAAACAGGCTTGATGGGCCAATGGCTCCTCTCATTTGTTACTTTAGAGAAGTTTCTTGTGCTCACTGTCAGTGGGGACGGCAGGTCTGGTGTTGGTCTGGTGTTGAGCTCTGCCGTTGGGTCAGTGTGGAAGTGAAGTCAGTGCACACTCCTCCTCTTGCCTGCGGGGGCTGTATGGATGTGATAACGAAATGAATGAAGCTTCTTCCGCTGTTTGAAGAAATTGTTTGAGATACCAAAAGCTAGTTCTGTCTGTGCTTTGTGGGTTTTAGTGCAGAGGTGCCTTGTGTTTTAAGCCAGTTTTAAGCAGGCATGGTTTGGTTGCCAGTGTTCTGGGATCGATGACTTGGAAGAGCTCCTCTGCGCTCCTGCTTCACGCTGTCAGGCCGGCGTTCTTGACCCCTCGGTGAGGCTTTCTGTGGGAGTGTTTAATTACTCAGCTGAAGGGATTATTCCTGGATTTGCACTGCGGTGCCATTCTTTCCAGTGCTGAATAAAACAGGGCAGGACAGCCTGCGGCTCTGTGGCCCTGGTGCGTGTGCTCGTTGCCCCCTGGGAGTCTCGTCAGCCCCACTCCCGCAATCCTCCGTCTCCTGGGCCGCTGTAACGTGACTGGGAAGAGAAAGGTGTGCTAGAAAATGGGAGTTTTTCTCTGGAGAAACGAGAGAGAGGATTGCTGGAATGGGATATAAATCCCAAAATGCCAGTGTGTCAGGGGCGTCATTTTGCCACGACTGTTCTGCAGCTCTACGCTTGAATCCCTGTCCTTCCTGGGTGCACGACTAGCCGGTACTGCGGAGGGTCATGCGCACCGCGGGGCGCCATAGGTGTTGACCAAGGGTGGGCTGGGTCACACCTGGTGGCCCAGCGGGGCAGGGAGAGGCGTCCTGGCCAGGGATTAAGGAAACAGAGCTGGAGCAAGTTGATGGGCTTGAAGCCAGACAGACAGACAGATTGAGCATGAATTGCTTGCGAAGAGGATGTCATTGCTAAGTCGCCGTTCAGCTTTACAAGAGGAGGACCAGAATGGAGCTGTGAGGACCCAGCACCCCCAGCATGCAGTTGGGCTCTGATTCGGACAACCACACGGCGGGGAGCACTGCGGAGATATGGGAGCTTACCTGCCCCCCACACACCGGCCTGTGACGGGGCTCGCTGCCTCCTTTGCACGTCTCCGAAACTCGAGCGCTGAGCGGGGATTTTAGCGAAGGGAGACCGAACAAATTGATAGCCGATAAGCAGGGCTGAAGCCCGGCAGCTGCCTGCTGTGAGAGGGGGACTTTGGACTGTTCCTTCAGCTGGCCAGGCTGGTGAGTTAATATGTAGAGCACCGCTGAGCCCGATTTAACTCTTCAGAGCCTGGCGTCCCAGTGCTGGAGCGTGGAACTGTCTGCCCCGTCTTCACAGAGCCTTTTAGTATTCAGTTCCTCCTCAAGTTAAAAAAAAATCTCTTTTATTTTTAGTTGCTGTGGGTGTGTCTCCAATTAGTGTTTGGGACAGGTGATGAGCTATTAGTCACAGACGATGTACCCCCAGGTTAGAGTCTGTTCCCTCTGATCTGCACTGATGGAGTCGCTCTGGAGTTTATCAAGGCTGAGGAGCAACATCTCCATGTGCTTTAAAAGCAATCAGCACAGCGGCCCCCTTCCACAGCCTCAGGGAGCCCCGGGCATCTCCGGAAAGGGAAAGCGGAGTCCCCCAGTTCAGCAGTCCAGCCCGGTGCAGCAGTGGGTTCCCGCTCCCCACCTGCTCTAACGGTGAAGCCGACAGCAGCCGGGCCAAGGCAACGGAGCAGAAACTGCGGTCAGGGTAGTAGGATAGGTAGCCGCCTGAGGGGAACCCCGAGGCTTGAGGTGTGTGTTATCAGACGGAGGGGGGGTGTCTGCATCACTGACTGGGGGGCCAAGGGGGCAGCAGAGCTGATCTGCACCCCCGTCCCGTCACTCCCAGATTGCAGGGCCTCTGGACGCGTCGCACAAGTGGCCGTGTGGTGCCTGTGCCCGTTCCCACGGCGTGCCACGGGCTGCACCACCCCCACCACGCTCCCCGCGGATTCCTCTCCCACAGGGGGATGGATATAGCTGGGCCCGCGGCTCTAAATCACCCGCAGGGATTTGCTCTATTTCTGGCACCCCGGCGTTCCCTTCCGCTCCTGACAGCTGGCCAGTTCACGGTGTCGGGTGCTCGGGACACTTCCGCCCTCTGCTGCTCGGGTTTCAGGGCAGCCTCCCAGCCCTTCTCGGGCTTCAGTTTCGATAGTCGTCTTCCTGCCTCCTAATCCTGGTCGCTGGCTTCCAGCATGCCCTGCCAGCTCACCTGAGCAGAGCCCCAGCTCTCCCGTCTCCTGTCGCTGCTCTCTCCCTCTGCTCCTTCCCTCCCGTGACCCTGGGGATCCCTTAACTCCTGCTGTTCCCCACTGCAGGCACGAGCTGTAGCCTGCCTGTCCCTCTGTTTGCCAAAGGCACCCCCCTCTGCAATGGCTGCCTCCAGCTCGGGTAACTATCAGGGAGCCCTTCAAGTTTCTGCCGAAGAACTGCTGCCAGTGAGCACCTTCATCCCTTCTGCCAAGAGCTGGGCGCCAGTCCTCTGAGAGCATGCGGCCGAGCGCGACAGATCCGGACACGCTTCTCAGTCTGGGACACAGTGTGTTTATTCCATCTGGGAGTCCCGTTGTTTCTGGGGGAAAAGGGGAGCACAGGGCTCCTCTGTGAAAAGAGCCCCCTGCACTGTGGAACCTGTCGTGGTTTAACATGAGGTGACAAACGGTACTGAAGGCGAGGCTCATGCCTGTTTGGGTTCTCTCTCTCTCGCCCCCTGCAGGAGAGTACATTAAGACCTGGAGGCCGCGGTACTTCATCCTGAAAAGCGATGGCTCGTTCATCGGCTACAAGGAGAAGCCGGAGACCTCGGATCACATCCTGCCGCCTCTGAACAACTTCTCCGTGGCAGGTGGGCCTGGTGGAAGGGGGGGGGACAAGGGCAGGGGGCAGGGAGACCTGAGCTTCCATCCGGACCGGCGTCCCGGCCGGGGGAAGAGTGGTCTCTTGTGTAGACTGGCCCACCCTGCCCTGCTGCCTTCACGTCCAGGATGGGCTGCAGCCCTCATAGGGATGAGTCAGACAGGCTTGCCTGCGAAAATGATGTTAGTGCTTAGATGAAGATTTAAAGATCAGCTTTAAAATGCAAAATACTCCCCGATTTTGTCGTGCAGCTCTCGTGTATGTTTGTGGTGTTTTTATTCGGCGTCTTGCAGGTCTGTGTTTGCTCCTCGAACATTAGCTTGTGTGGCTGATTCGCCCGGGCTGTTCTCCGGGAACGCAGGACACCTGACCAGTGAAGGCTTTGGCTGACTGAGAGTTCATCTAATGAAGTTATTGCACTGCATTTGCGTGCTGTTTTGTCCAGTTCTGAGGTCCAGCTGTTCTCTGGACAGTCTGATTGGTCTGGAACAGTTTGGCAGCTGTAGTGGGGGAGGGGTTTGCCGTGCAAGTGAACGCTGTATGGAAAAGCGATGAGGAAACATGCTTTTTCAAAACGTCCTGCGCAACCTGTTCCTGCTCTGCTATGGTGGGATCAGCAATGTCTCAGTCCAGTGTCAATGTCTTCGCTCACACCCCGAACCCCCTGTCCTGTTTCAGAATGCCAGCTGATGAAGACAGAGAGGCCCCGCCCCAACACCTTCGTCATCCGGTGTCTGCAGTGGACCACCGTGATCGAGCGCACGTTCCATGTGGACAGCCCCGAGGAGAGGTGAGTGGAGACCCCTCCTGAAAATTCAGACCATCAGCGCTCTGTGTCATGCCCAGAGCCAGATTTGACATTGCCTCCTCTCAGACTAACTTTTCGAAATGGGGGGAAAAATTAATTTGTTCCCACCCCGTTGCAGGGAACTTGGTTGGGGAGTTTTTTGGTTTTTCCCGGGGCGTTGGGCACCCTTAATTTTTTTCCCCCCCCCTTTTCCCCCCTGTAGGTACTGAGTGTTTCAGACAGCAGGTCTAGGCAGGCAGGGAATCGGCAGCTGTAAAGTTCCTTGGCGCATCTACACAAGCATGAGAAGCCCAAAAGAGAAGAAGGCCTTGAAGACTGTTGCTCTGAAAGAACAGTGCTCGGTTTTTTGCAGTTGTTACTTGGCTTTTATCCAGTTTCCATAATATCTGTGGAGCAGAAGAACTAAAGTTAAGCAGTAGTGTGGTAAACTCTGTAATGAGCCTGATTAGTTCTGATTAAGGAGATTTAACAGAGGAATTATGAGGCACGCGTGTTGTTTCTTAAGACGGATCCTGGGAGCACTTGGTTCGTTGGCAGAACTGGAGGCTCCAGCTGGGCCTGAAAAGGCATTTTCATCAGCAAGGGTACGATAATCCTTACAGCCAGGCTTACGGTTTTTACAGGCATTTAATTCATTTTCAGAAATTCTAGGCAGTCATTAAGAAGCCATCAGCCTTTAACGGGCTCTTTCAGGCAAGAAGGTTCTGACATTGGCAAACATCATGACTCTGTCCATGGTGAGACCTACCTTATTTTTAATCTGACTTTCAGTTAATTAAGAGCAATTAACCGTGTTAACATTTTATTTGCGTCATCTGGGGGCCCAGGTCCAGTGGTCCTGAGATTTCAAAGAGATTGATCTGTGTTTGTGTTTTTGATCATTAAAAGCAGCTTCAGCAGTATTCTTTGGAAAGACCTATTATTTATTATGCATATGGTGCTTTGTTTTTTTACTTCTGTCATGCGTCACTGTAAAATACCCACATGCTCTAGAGCTGGGTTAGTCAGCTAGCAGGCCCTCCTGTGCCCTCTGCTGTACTTTAACATGGCTGATGTCTTCGTTGTTAGATTGATCCTGCTGACTGTCAATTAAATTACCTGAAGAGCAAAGTTCTGGCTTGCAACAGCCTTCATTTCCAATAGTCCTAATCTGGAGTTCAGGAGGTGAGTGTTTTGTGCTCTGTGTGGCTTGCAGAATCAAACGATTCAGTCCTGCTGGGATTGTGTTTTAACTGGACTGGTCTACAGAGGTGCTGCACTTGCTTGTGGCGTCCAGCAGGGCAGTGGTGTAAGCTCTCTCCATCTCTCCACGCCAGGGAGGAATGGATCCGTGCGATCCAGGCTGTGGCCAACGGCCTGAAGAACCGTGAGCCCGAGGAGGAGCCCATGGACATCAAGTTCGGCTCGCCCAGCGACAACTCCGGCGCCGAGGAGATGGAAGTGGCCATGAGCAAGTCGCGCTCCAAAGTGGTGAGTCCTGTTGGCCAAAAATGGCTCCCTGTTGGCTGTCTTGTGGAGAGATGCTTTCTGCTTGGCCATTACCCTAGTAAAATGGAAATAAGGGAGGCAAGGGGATAAGCACAGTTGGTAGGAAGACGCAATTCAGCCCACTGGTCATACTGCTCAATTTTAAGGGGTCTTGGGGCTCATCGTCTAGGGCTGGGGTGGGGTATCTGGGCACTGCTCTCCTCTTGCATTGCAGGACTTCAGTCTACCCACAGTTTTGTCCACATAGATAATGTTGAATTTAATTGGTTCTTAATTATTTAATTACCCCTGTAGGTGTAAATTGCTCCCAAAAATCAAAGCTTAGTAGGAATAAAAGACTAGTCGAAGAGGTTGACTAGGTTTGTATCGTTCAAGACAAGGAGTAGTTTCCACAGGCTGGAGAACTTCCAGTGTAGCTTCCATCCACAAGAATGTGACAAAACGCCAATTATAGACCATTATAGACACGTCTGGCTTCTGTTACATTACACGTTACGGCCACAAAGTTTAGAACTACACCAGAGGGTCACCTATATGAAAGTAATATCCGAGAGAGTAATCAACATGGATTCGTTAGAAACCATACCTGGGTTCCCTCAAGAAACAGCTGGATAACTTCTGACTACCAAACAGGCCAGATGGGCTGAATGTCTTCTCCTTTTTCTCACCTTTGTGTTCCTCTGTGCGGCTCTGCGATGGGTTCAATTACGTTTCTTCACCCTTTCCCCCAGACTATGAGTGACTTCGACTACCTGAAGCTGCTGGGCAAGGGCACCTTCGGGAAGGTCATCCTGGTCCGAGAGAAGGCCACGGGAATGTACTACGCCATGAAGATCCTGCGCAAGGAGGTCATCATCGCCAAAGTGAGTCCGGGCAGGGGCCCCTGGGCGTGACCCACTCCAGCGTCTCGGCAGAGAGGTGCTTCCCCGCCTGGGCCTGCTGGTGCTCGAGGATGGCAGAGGGCTGGTCAGGGCCTTGAAGGCCAGAGGGCCTGCCTGGAGGCTTTATGGGCGAGAGAATGATCTGCACTGTCTGTGATCTGAACGTTTTTCTCCTCTCCTCTGGCCTTCAGGATGAAGTAGCGCACACGGTGACTGAGAGCAGAGTGCTGCAGAACACGAAGCACCCTTTTCTGACGGTGAGTTCCGCTTTCCCCCGATTGAGCTCCAGGCGCACAGACAGGTGAAAACTGCACAGGGGAGTGCCGCTGGGCGCGCTCCTCGGGGAAACTCGGGTTTTGCATGCGAGGGGGCTGGTGGTTCCGAGCCGTCCCGGCGAACTGGGAAAGCAGATGCTCTTTGAAGTCACAGTCCCGAACGTGACAGGTCTGTCCTGTGGAGGGTTTTCCCACCCTGGGTCCCACAGATTTTGCAAGGGAAGGGGGTCAGATTCGAACTCTGCTGTCCAGTCACCAGTGGTGCTCCGTGCGGATGTGTGAGAGCATTTTGCGTTGAAGGTAAAAGCAAAAAGAAAAATAAATGCGGGATCCTCATTCCGGGTTTCTGTCAGGTGGATTTGCATGGCATTTGCCTGCTGGGTTGAGGCGGGCACAGCTCTGGAGCCGGTCCCCCCTTCCCTGGGGCTGCAGGCCCAGGCTGTGTCCCTGTCACAGATGGGCGTGCGTGTTGGGGTTCCGAAGGCCAGGCGGTCAGACGCGCACGCCCTCTCGCGCACATCCTTCTCCCTGGCTCGGCCGTGCCCAGGCCTTGTGCTTCCGACATCCTGAGCCAATGAAGGAAACCCAGTAGCTGGAACTAACCTGCTTTGCACACGGTGACACTGAGTGGATTGGCAATGCGATATGAAAGTGCTGTAACTTTGTGCATATTAAACTGCCGGGAAAATTGCATCGTGAATGTGCTTTGTTTCTCAAAATCACAGAGAATTCCCAGCTCTGTTATTTACCAGGCGAGTGGAAAGCTAATGATTGGCACTGTAATGAAAACGTACACTGCCACAAGATACAGATTCTCACCTTAAGTCTGATCGTCAGTAGCTTGCACTCTGTACATAACTTTTCATAGGATGCCGATGTGTGCCACACTGAGGCTTTCTGTGATCCTGTGTGGGCTCTCTTTAGAGCATTATCTTCTGAAAAGGCTTCTCTCTGGCTGGATCTTGTGCATGCGGAATGGAAGAATAGTGTTGCACACTGCTCTGAGGCCCATGAGCATGGCCCCTGTGCAGCTCTTTATCTGAAAGAGCAAATCTGACCAGCAGCTCCCAGAAATGAGGGATGTGCCACAAGCCACAAGGTGGTGATTTAACAAACCCCTATTTTTTTCCAGAGTTTTGACAAGATGGGGCCCCGTGCGACCCAGAGCATCACTGCCTGTAATGAGAAATAACAGCCCCCAATTATTTTTTTGTTCTGCCCACAGACACTAAAGTACGCCTTCCAGACCCACGACAGGCTGTGCTTTGTCATGGAATATGCCAATGGAGGGGAGGTAGGTGTCTTATCGGACACTTAAAAGTGTCAGAAGGGACTGGGCAGATAATTATGTAATACAAAAGTATATATGCACAGTGGTGTCTATAAACCTGAGAACAGGTTGTGTCTTAGAGAATTGTACCAGCTTAGATGCTGCTCCTTCTTTGCATAAATGCTGCCTACTGATGAGACTGATCTCAAGCACATGGGTTTGCGTTGAAGTAGAAGCGTGGTAATGATGTTCTTGAAGACCCCCCCACAAAATATTCCAGCTCCTTCCTCTGTTTCCGCTCCAGCTCTTCTTCCACCTCTCGCGAGACAGAGTCTTCACGGAAGACCGTGCGCGTTTCTACGGAGCGGAGATCGTGTCGGCGCTGGAGTACCTGCACTCCAGGAATGTGGTCTACAGGGACCTCAAGGTGGGTCGGTGGGAGATCGGAGGGGCTCATCTTCTCGATCTGCTTTGCAAGCCTGACGCGCAGCGGTGCCCCCGGAGTTCAGCTGTGTTGGGTCACGTGCCTGCTGCCGGACTGCGGGTGGTGCTTTCCCACAGCTCGCAGACTGGTCATCCCCCGTGGGCCACCGGAGGTAGGGGGCCGCGGGTCACGCCCTGTCTTCGGTGTGTGCTCGTTCTGCGCGGCTCGTGACCCTCCTCCCTCCCTTTCTCTCGTTGCGCAGCTGGAGAACCTCATGTTGGACAAAGACGGCCACATCAAGATCACGGACTTCGGCCTCTGCAAAGAGGGCATCACGGACGGGGCCACCATGAAGACCTTCTGCGGCACCCCAGAGTACCTGGCGCCCGAGGTACAGCCGGCCCGGCCCACGTCTCGGACCGCGCTGCGGCACGCCGGCATGCCTTCGCGCTGTCGGGAAGTTTCACCCTCCATCTCTCTCCCTCCCTCCCTCTCTCTCTCTCTTTCCCCATCATAGGTGCTGGAAGATAACGATTACGGGCGCGCGGTGGACTGGTGGGGCCTGGGAGTCGTCATGTATGAAATGATGTGCGGGCGGCTGCCCTTCTACAATCAGGACCACGAGCGGCTCTTCGAGCTCATCCTCATGGAGGAGATCCGCTTCCCGCGCAACCTCTCCCCCGAGGCCAAGGCGCTGCTCGCCGGCCTGCTGAAGAAAGACCCCAAGCAGAGGTGAGAGGGGGCGCACGGCCAGCCGGCGGCGCCAGGATCTGTCCCTGTTTGACGTCGGTTTGCAGAGCCGGTCTGTTGAGTTTGATGAGCTGGTGGCTGTTTTCACACCACACCTCTCTGTCTCTCTCTCTCTGTCTGTCTGTCCCCTCCAGGTTGGGAGGAGGGCCTGAGGATGCCAAAGAAGTGATGAGCCACAAATTCTTCACCCCTATTAACTGGCAGGACGTCCTGCAGAAGAAGGTGAGGCTGAGGAGCTCGGCGTGGTGCACCGACAGGGTTCTCCTGCACGTGCCTTTTGTTGGCCATGGCTGCCAAATACATCTGCCAGCCTAAACACGTCAGCCCGATGCGCAGTAGACTTAAGAGCTTGTTGAGGTCTAGGCCGGGGAGAGTCAGCCTCGGCACCTGCATTCCATCCTTCGTTATCACCCATGTTAATTAAGCAATTGAGAATCGGTATCAGTCGAATCCGTGGGGGTGGAGTGGTGACACTCTGGCTAAGGATCTGCACCTGGAAGGTTGCCAGTTCAGAGGAATCCTACTCTGTTCGGCCCCTGAGCAAGACCCTTAACCCAAACTGCTCCAGGGGCGCTGTACAATGTCTGACCCTGCGCTCTGACCCCCAGCTTCTCCTCCTGTCTGTGTCTCATGGAGAGAGAGCTGGGGTCTGTGAAAAGACCAATTCCTAATACAAGAAATTGAATATGGCCAATAAAGTGATCTTGTCAATGGAAGGTTGTGCTGGCAGGCAGGCAGTGGAAGCGCGGGGTCTGGGGTGAGTGTTAAGACGCAGATGACCAGCCCGCGGCTGAGCAGTCAGGGCTCCCAGGTGGCCTGTGGGGCGAGTCAGCAGTCCGCCCCTGTCCCAGAGGGTCACCTTCTCGCTCTCCTGTCTCCTCGCAGCTCATCCCCCCGTTCAAGCCCCAGGTGACGTCGGAGACGGACACCCGATACTTCGACGACGAGTTCACCGCTCAGACCATCACGGTCACGCCTCCGGACAAATGTGAGTGTGGCGCCTCCCCTTCGGGGCTGTCCCGGTACACTGGGGCGACTGCACCTGCAGCCTGCTCCTTCCCTGTCCCCGTGATCTGCACAGTGTGCTGCGCATAGAGGCGACTGCAAAAGCGTCAAAACCCCTGCCCTCAGAGCCTGCAGGTTCTGTGTCTGAGCTCCCATGAGCCACTGTGGACCCTCGAGCCTGCAGGTTCTGTGTCTGAGCTGTGGGTTGCTAAAATCAGTCCTTTCCAGAGTGACTTGATACATCATGGACTCTGAGTGCATCTCCTGTATCTCACCTGGCCAGAGGTCTGTGACGGCAAGTCCTGTCCTTTGGCTGAGTGGAGGTTGAATTGTCCTCCACTTTTTATAATGATAATAATAATAATTGCTTACACATACATAGCGCTTTTCTGGACACTCCACTCAAAGCGCTTTACAGGTAATGGGGATCCCCTCCACCACCACCAGTGTGCAGCCCCACCTGGATGATGCGACGGCAGCCATAGTGCGCCATAACGCTCCCCACACACCAGCTCTCAGTGGGGAGGAGAGCAGAGTAATGAAGCCAATTTAAGATGGGGATTATTAGGAGGCCATGATTGGTAAGGGCCAATGGGAAATTTGGCCAGGACGCCGGGGTTAAACCCCTACTCTTTCGAGAAATGCCCTGGGATTTGTAATGACCAAAGAGAGTCAGGATCTCAGTTTTATGTCTAATCTGAAGGACGGTGCCTGCTTACAGTATATTGTCCCCGTCGCTATTCTGAGGCATTAGGACCCACGTGGACCGCAGGGTGAGCGCCCCCTACTGGTCCCACTAACACCTCTTCCAACAGCAGCCTCAGTTTTTCCCAGGAGGTCTCCCATCCAGGTACTGGGCCGTCTTGGCTTCAGTGGGCTGCTGGCTGTGAGTTGCAGAGTGATATGGCTGCTGACCAGTGATTTCTTCTTTTATTGTGCCTGGGCTCTTAATTGGCCTAATTGGAAGAATCATTGGTTCACCTGGACTCGTTAACCCTCTCCAGGAATCTCCAGCTGTCAGTGGTTTACAGGCCTGTACAGCCTTCTGGCCCAGCCCGTGTGTCACTGCTGTCACACAGCTGTCCTAACGGAGTTGAGGACAGCCGGGAAAGCGAAAGGGTTTCTCCCCGAAGCTTGAACACGCGTGGGGAAAGGAACCCCGGTCTGGCTCTTCTTGCGCTGCACCCTGGGTGAGCCGCGATCGACCCCGGTTACTGCTGGTTACCCTCCGGCTCGGGGGCGGGCAGCTCCAGCCCCCTAGGGTTTCACGGGTACTGTCCCGTTCGCGACTGGGGGGGCATGAAGTCCTGTCCAAATAATCCAAGCCCATCCGGTCCGATCCGAGCCCCTCCAGGCCGCAGCTGCCCAGCCCAGGACGGAGGCTGCAGCGTGCCGAGCCGTGGTGAAGCCCAGTGCCGGGTGAAGACTGGCTCGGCCTGCTCGCCCACCTCTGTCATTGTTGGCTCGTATCTGACGCGTCTCTGCCAGCGACCCCGGGTGCCTGAAAGATTTCTGGGTTTGAGGGAGGTAAAACTGTCTTTACGGAAAGATCTGACCCGGAAGCGCTCTGTCCCGCAGATGACAGCCTGGATGCGGAGGACCCCGATCAGCGCACTCACTTCCCACAGTTCTCCTACTCCGCCAGTATAAGGGAGTGAGCGGGCGGCATGGACAGCCAGCACGGACAGGAGCCATCCAGAGACTGATGGAAACACTCAGAGCAGAGCAGCCCTGTAGCCCTGCCTCACCGGGTACCACACTAACGCAGAACAGCCGCCACAGCAACACACACTCACACACACACCCCTGGACTGTCACGCAGCGACATGCACGCCCACAAGCTACACACCTCCCACAGACTGCAGGAAGAAATAACCCTTAGCTGAAAAGTTTTTTTTCTTCTTCTTAAGAAAAAAACCCGAAAAAGATAAAATCTATATATTTTTAAACATTTTTCCGATTGTTACAGTTTTAAAAGCCATATGCAGCGATTTACAAGTGCTCTTTTGGAACTGGCTGTTACCAATAGTATTGAACTGTTCCTCCTGGGTCGCTTGGAAAGGAGTGGAGGCGGTTGGCCAATTGGTGCCCTCTGATCCCACATGTGTGTGCGTATGTGTGTGTTTGTATATTTATATATTGCTGTAGATGTGTGTGTATATATCTATACAGATGCACGGTTTTGCCTTTAAAGGAAGAGGGAATTGTGATTTTGCGGGCAGGATTGTCCAGTGCTTCATTTCCAGATGTTGCAGACTGGAAGCCGCAACACTTGTCTGTCTCATGTCCCCCCCCCCCCTCCCAGCGCCGCAGGGCCACTCGTATGCAGTAGTGTAGCCCAGTCGCCCGCTGTGGGTGGGGGGGCGGAGGCAAAGTACGGGGTGTGGGGGGGCTTCAAGAGGTCCCTGCTTGAGTTACACTCACAGTCCCTTATCTGCTACTGTGAATCCAAGAATACCCAACCAGCCGTTCCTTGATGGAACCTGGAACACAGTTCTT